GTCATGGCCTTCATTATCGACAGCCGGCTAGCCTCGATTCGCTCATTGCCATGGCACCGGCCTAACACGCGCTCTTGGCGTCGATTGTAGTTTGATGTGATTTACAAGCGCCTTGGACCACCACCAGCCTCATTCATGCAGCACATTGCGAGCCGGGACGTGCACCGATACATTGAATCTCGCGCCGGTCAGTGGGGCTTGTTTGTACACTGCCGGTTGCAGGCCCTGTGACGTTTGCTTTGGGTAGAGGTGTAGTGCTTGTATGCCGATTGGCGAGGCAGCCGTCCTACCCCGTGCTCACCGTTTCTGTCCGCGTGCGTACTGGGTAGAGGCGCTGGGGCCACGACAGGTGCAGCCATTGGATGAGCTGCGGGTTCTGGTGAGCCCACAAGCCATGTCCTTGATTGAGTCACTCTTACTTTATGGTACGCCATTCTCGGGCCCTTGTACTGACGCCAGCCTTTCGAGGTATCTCAAGGGTTATGCTTCAAAGCAGCCGCCGTCTTCACACATGAGCCTCCGGTTCGTCCTTTTAGATTGGTCGGAGCGCTTGACTGGGCCACAGGTGGTGGGGCACCCCTACTTTGCCAACGTGGCCGTGCCGCAGGCCTACTGTCACGCGCTCTTCGACCCGAGCTTTGAACAACTCGCCGACGTGCCGGAGGCCGTGGCGATGCCCCAGCTCAAGCAGCTTGTTGGCGACGAATGTCGCCGCGCCGTCGATTGACGGGCTGTGACTATAAGGGATGTGGGGCCAAGCTCAGGCAGGCTCGAACCTTGCCATGTTCGGGTTTTGTTTGCTTAAGTGACGTTGTGCGGTTTTTTTTTTGGGTTGTTCTTGTTTGTGAGCTTGTATTGTTAGTCAGCACCACTTGGGGCGTTTCTCGCCCGAGCACCATGTATTGTGTTGTGCGGCTCAAAGTATACGAGGGGCTGATCAGCCGTTGAGCGGCATCGGCCTTGGGTGGGTGTGTATCGTTTGTTGGTGACATTGTGCGTTGTGGGGCCGGTTCAATTGCAGGCGACTGTCCAATCTCGGATTGCTCTGTTCCATGATTCTGCCCCTTCATCACGATTTCCCTCCTTGATATCGATGGCAAATGGACTCATCCTGCCATGGATGCATTGTTCGATTGGCTCGATTGAGGTTTAAACATCAACAACCAACATGCAAACAAACAAACAAACAAACGACCATGTTGGAGCAATCCTTGTGGGGATCGTTTTCACTTCTCGTCAGCATTGTCGGGGTGGAGGGTGGGTTCCAGGAGGGCCCGCCAGACGACGGTGAAGATGGCCGAGTTGAGGATGTCAACCCAAATGCGGGTGGAGAGGCCACGGGTGAAGAGGCCGAGTACGCCTTCCTTGCTCACAATTTGACGGACGATGGTGGAGTACGAGATGGCCTGAGCGTTGGTCTGGCGGTAGGCTTTGACCAGGGATAAGGGATTGGCGGCCACATCCGTGACCACGGCGCAGGCCGAGCCAATGAGAGCGTTGCGAATCATTTTTGAGGAAGTGGAGACGTCTCCCGATGTCTCAATACGTTGGTCGAGGAGGTTGTACGCGGTAAACCACAGGGTATGGCGGACAGCGGCACCAACGATGGAGGAGCCGGCCCCGTGGAAGAGAACGCCATATCCCTGAGAGCGGACTTTGTGGCGTAGCATGGCCATGCCTTCGCGGCCCTCTACCTGCATGATGGTCTTGATTGTATCCACGGGATAGTAGACGAGGCGAAAGCAGCCCACCCCCACGGAAGAGAGTGCAGTCTGGGCGACCACAGGAAGGTGGTTGCCAAGGCTCGTGCGAGAGAGCATGTTGAGGGTGGCGTAGTTGGCAGCGGCTCCGACGCCACGGGACAGCGGCGCTTCAATCATGGCGGCTGTGAGACCTGAGTAGAAGCGAGTCACCCCACCCTGTCGCCAGAGCTTGCGGATAGTGTCGCCCATGGTCCCTCCGTTGCGATACTGGTGGTTCATGACTGTGCGGAGCCACATCAGCAAGGCAATGTCCACCAGCATGGCTTTGGCCCCTGCGACCCCCTCGCGGGTGGCAGCAGCCAAGCCATGCTTAAAGTCCAGATCCGGAATCTGGGCAGCTTCTTCCGGGCGCATGGTGGGGGCGGCTTGGACCACCACTCGTGCGCCCAAGAGCTCCAGCGGTGGCGAGCTCCAGAGGATCAGAACCACCAAGCACCAGTACGCTCCAGCTCCCCCAGACCAAAGCCCACCCTGCAGGCAATGGACAAACACACAGATCCAACGCCACACAGCCCCACCAACCCTACCTAGCCCCTGCATGCAACCCTGGTCTCCGATCCACCTGATCCCCTCCCCTCCGCCGACCAAGCACCCCGAGCTCAAACAAGCGAACGAGGCGGACGTGAACGCGTGAACAAGTTTTTTTGAGTCCTGTGAGCAACCAGTAATATGCTGACATTTACCATTCCCCGTCTGACATCTGACATCTCGGAACCGAAGACTTTGTCTGACAATACAGATCTGACGTGTGTGTGTGTGTGTGTGTGTGTGTGTGTGCAGTTCTCTCTCTCTCTCTCTCTCATATTTTTCCTTCTGGAAAGAACTGGCGGCCACCTTTTCAACGGCAGCGGGAGGCACACCGAACTTGCAGTTTGGACGCGTTGTACAGGTCAGTGGGGTGCTATATTGGTGTGTTTGGAATGGGCGCAGGTGGGGCAAGATCCTTGGTCGTGCGTGGCGGTGTGATTGTTGATGAGAGCTTAACGTGCGCACTGGGTGGAACACGGCAGCACCTGTTGGAGCAATGGGGCTCAACGCACGATGGCCGGCGCCCGTGCTGGGCTGGGCCGTCCTCTTACTGGCGGCTGGGATGTATCAGGCCACCGCCCAACAAATGACCCTCGATGATCTGGCCAAGGTGCGGGGAATGCTCGATATTCTGGAGAGGCCGTGCTGCCCATTGGACATCCACTGCTTATCGCTTGTGTCCCTGTCTGCACACAGCCCATTCCCATGACGCCTGGTGACTTTGATTTGTTGCGAGAAGCTGGCACCTTTCCCATTGTGCTGGCCTTTGATCAGAAAGCTGCCGATGCTGCCGGCAGTGAGCTCGAGGGCTTGGCCCGAGTCATGCTTGTTGATGTCCAAGAGCCCGACCATCTGGCTCATTTGGTGAGTCCGCGTGCGAGCCCCGCCCCCTCCCGTGTGCGCCACCTCGTTTTCGCTGTTTCAATCCACGGCGCGCTTTCTCACTCAGCTACCTCCTCCTACTGCAGGGCCTCGAAGCCGGCCAACTGCCCACGTACCGTGTTTTTGGGTACAAGGCCGATGCTTCAGCCTCGGGCCAAGACTTTGAGGTCAGCGTCCTCTGCTGCAAGACTCGACCCAGTTGATCCCTGTGTCTCATTCAGCACGCGAATTGTGGGCTGTATGGCTTGACCGATCACCTGTCATCAATAGAGCTTGGATCTGGCAGCCGCTGCCGTCCGTGATAGTGTTCCAGCTGACCTCGTCAAGGTCAGGCTCGCGTCGCTTGGCCGTGTTGGCTCATGAAACACACCACGATCCGTGTCGCACGCCTCACCTTTGATTGTATGAATCAGCCCTTGGCAGAGCAAGCGATTGAAGCCACCCTGTTGGAGGCACTCAACAACCGCAAGCTTGTGGCTGTGCTCTACACCAGTACGTTTTTCATTATCCCGACGTTTGTGTGTGTGTGTGTGTGTGTGTGTGTGTGTGTGTGTGTGTGTGTGTGTGTGTGTGTGTGTGCGGACCCATCTGGCGCAAGGAGAGATGGATCGTCGGTTCTCACTCGCCTCAATCGGGCTTTTGACTGCAGAAAAGGCCGGTATTCCGGATGTTGCACTCAAGCTGGCCATGTTGCTGCACGACAGTTACACCGTGCAAGTGGTCACTGGGCCCAACCCGATTGCCCTGCAGGAAGGCCGTGCGTTACCTGCGTCTGTCTCTTGCTCATTGTGCCATCTTATCATCGATACATCTGCAAGGCAGTTTGTTTTCCTCACTTTGCTGCTTGCCGCGGTGCGGGCAACAGGCTTTGATAAGCTGCCTGCCATGCTGGTCTACTTTCCAACAATGCAAGAGGAGCCCGGAATAGACGGTCAAGCTCGCATCGCCTTTAGCATGGCTGCTTTTGATCGCGCCCGCCATGGTGGTATGTCATGCTGTCACGCCTCGCATGGGTGTATGTCATGGTTGTGAGAACTTCTCCCGCTGTCTGGCATCATCTTATTCTCACAGGGCCATCCTTCAACAGGTTTCAAGTTTAAAAACATGGTGACGTTCTTGGCACTGTTGCGTTCAGAGCTGCTGACGCACGGTAAACTGGATCAAATTTGGCCCGAGGCCCCTGAGGGAGCTACACCGCCCCCATCACCCCCGTCACCTGCCGCGACCAAGCAGTTTAAGGAAGCCTTTGAGGTCGGTATCTATCGTTCTCCACAATCACCATCACCATCGCCATCACCACCACCACCGCGGCGGCGAAGTGGACCGCAGAGACACTGAGGCTTTGTGTTTTAATCGTGATGGCGTTGCCTTGAGCCCTCGCCTGTTGCTCATGTCAAGCCCGGCATGGGTGGTTGGGAGATGCAGATTACGGCTGATGTGGGGCGCGACTATTGTCCGACGAACATCCTGGGCCTGTGCGCACTCGTGTTGCTGGATGGGGCAAGCCCAGATTTGACGGCACATCTCGAAGTGGTACGGGGCGCAGAGGCGCTGGCGCGGGAGCAGGGGCAGGTGGTACACTTTATGTGGGCAGATGCCAGCTGCCATCCAGAGTTTGCGAGCCACTTTGGTCTGGCACCGGACTTGCTACCAGCGGTTGTGGCGTTGGCTCCCAAGAAGGGCAAGCATGCCGTTATGCGGGGTGGCTTTGAGGCGGCCAGTGTGAACGGCTTTTTAGCAGCCGTGCTACGGGGTCGGGAGACGTTGGTGGATGACGACATGAATGCTTTGCCGATGGCTGCGAGTGGCGTGGATTGTGCCGCTGTGCACGCGGCAAGTCTGGAATCCTTGGAGGAGGAGGAGGACTTTGATTTGTCAGACATTATGGCGGAGGAGGTTGGCGACGAGTCGGAGCGGGCTGCTTTGCGCGATGAGGCCGAGGCCGCCGCAGCGGCGGCTACTTTGGATTCGGAAGAAGCCGAGATGGTACGCGGTCATGGCCCCACGTTTTGGGGGGTTTTTTTTTTCTTGAACGGTTGAACCTCTGCATGCTGTTTGCTGACGGTTGAGGCGGTTGGTTCTTGCTCTCATACAGGCGGCCAAGCGACGCAAGGCCATGGAGGAACTCGAGCGTCTGAACAAGAAATCACAGGTGCGATTGTAAATGCGGTGCAGGGTTAAGACATTGTGTCGATCTGCCCTTGGGAGGGGGTTTGATTTTTTTTTTTTCATTTCCTGAATCTCCTCTCATTTCTCTCTCTTCTTGTTTTCCATTTAGAAGAAGAAGAAGGGCAAAAAGGGCAAGAAGGGTAAGAAGAAGCGCAAGGCGGCAGCCAAAGATGAGCTTTGAGCATCCCCGTTGGTCGTTCGATCGATGCGCTATTTCGAATCGGAAACATTTGTCTGACAAGGGAGAAAAAACAAACAAAATTTGAAAAGAATCGTCTGCAACACATGTTGTCTGGGAATTTTCCCGCCGATCAACCTTGACCATGACCAACCCACCCAGTGTAACAAAGGCCACACTCACTCAGTCCAACTCACACAACCACCACCACCACAGACCAAGCGAACAGGAGCGCTTCCACATCACCACAACACCCACCACCACTGGACAGACACCAAAACACCAGAAGTCAGAAATTGTAGAGAGAGAGAGGGAGAGAGAAGAGAGAGAGACAAAAGCAAGACAAAAGAAAAGAGACAAAAGAAAGACAAAAAGTCAAAGAGACAAAGCACACACTGATTTTTTTTCTTATGTGTGTGCGCGGTAAGTTCTTCTCTCTCTCTCTCTGTCTCTGTGTGTGTGTGTGTCTCTCTCTGTCTCTGTCTCTGTCTCTCTGTCTCTCTGTCTCTCTGTGTGAGTGCTTTGCTCGGTGTGTGTGTCGATATGGCAGTCGGGGTTGCGTGAATGCAGGTCGATCAAGGGGCAAGGGTGGGGGGTTGTTTGTGCAGTGGGTATGCGGGCGAGCCACTTGTTGGAGACACGACGCCAATTTGGGACCCGCCACCAAGATCTTAAAAGGATGGAACGCGTGTGGTCGGGCCGGAGGATGTCGAGGTGGATCCAACAGTCCCCGCCCCTTTGGCTGCTTGAACTGGTCGAGCGTTTGGATGCCTGATGTCGGGGTGGTTCCAGGCCTGGATGTGGTCACATGTTTACTGCATGTGTGGCAGCGGGGTCTTGATCAGCGCCCCCGGCTCGCTACGCCCTTGTTTGCGCGCAGTTGCTGGCCCTCGATTGAAAGGTCCAGAAGGCCAAAGGAAGGTGTTGCCAGACCCTGACGTTGGACCGACTTTCGACTGGTGCTCCGTCCCTCGCCAGCATGCCGACCCGATCGAGGTGCATGCACATCACATCAGAACAGAGCTGGCAGGACGGCTGTCTACCGCTGCTGCAAGCACTGCGCTCTTCTGGCGTCCCCGAGCCACTGCCATCAACGCCCCTTCTGCCGGGCCACAGCACACCAGCTGGCACTGAGAGCGCAAACCCAGACAGACCCGGGCGGCAACAGGGCTTGACCCCATGACTCCCTGCAATCAATATCAGCATGCCATGTTCTGCATCGGGATCAATCGATGCCTCATGCACCCTAGCTCATTCTCATGACATCCGACTGCCTTTCTGGTTATTTTTTTTTATTTTTTATTTTTTATTTTTTTCCTTTCTTTTTTTTTTGAAGTTCTCCTTGCTTTTTTTTCTCCTCCTGCCAGGCCGTTGCTTTCGCCACCCGTCCTCTCTTGACCGCCGTTTACTTTCAATTGCTTCTTTCTGCTGTCACTCATCGATGGATTTGCGCTATTCCGTTGTCGCTTGGCTGAACTCTCTTCCTCAGGACTTTTGACTTGCATTGAAATTGGTCCTGTCTCGGCTTATTCAGACGCCAGGCATAGATCGTGGACAGTAGCGTCTGACCTTTGGTCAAGAGCGCCGCTTTCGCATTGCTTCAGATAGATTACGCCTCAGAACCGCCGTCATGGGTAACATTGTTCAGGTCGGCTCCCTCGCTCTCCTGTCGCTGCAGACCCTCAGTTTACACGTCAATCTTTGCTCTGCAGCCTCCCGCGTGCTCGAACTTGAGGCCCTTCTCCTTGTGTCCACAACCTGACACCGGTACAAATCCTTTGATCCGCGTGTCCTGCTTCCTAGGTGCTGCGTCGCGATGCGCAGACGCTGGACAAGGACATTTTTGTCGACTTTGAAAAGGCCTCACCTTCAGATGCTGAGTTGGAGACCTACGAAAAAGTCAACGCCGTCCTCTCCAAGGCCGATGGCATCCTCAAAGGTACGTCAACTACTCACGCCGCGTAGTCTTTGTGCCTACCCCCCCTTCAATTCAACCCCGCCAGCGGGTAATGGCGGCATCCTGGTGTGCACAATGATGGTCAACATTGACAGATCTGGAGACCTACGAAGGGGCCGGCGATCCGATTCGCAAGGCCATCTCCAACGGCTCTGACGAAGAGCTGCAAAAGCAGGCATGGGATGCCGTTTCACCACTCGTGGCCCTCCTGAAGGACTTTTACATCTTCTCCTCGGAAGTCGGTGCGTTCAAGGATGGCAACACTCGAGCACACCTGTAGCTTCCAGCTCATGCACGCCTTGCTCACACTTGTCCCTGGTCGGCCTTTTATTTTGAATAACAGAGAGCGTGCTTCCGTTCCTGCTCGAAGCTCTGTGCACCGAGGCTCCGGCCACCGAGGCGCTCGAGGGCAAGCAGGTATGATTGGGTCACTCTTCTGGGGCACATCTGTCAAGATCCAGCCAGAAACTAATTGTTCGCTGTTTGCGCAGGCCCTTGCCAAGCAGTTTGCAGAAATTTTGCAATTTGTTCTCAAGTTTGACGACTTGAAGATGAACAACCCCGCTGTGCAGAACGATTTTAGCTACTACCGTCGCACCATTAGCCGCATGAAGATGAAGAACCCGGTATGCACCACCATTTTACATCGACCGAGCTATGCATGGAAGGCACCGGGTGGCCAGCGAGGGCAACAGTTGTCATTGGCACTGCTGTCTCCATTGCCTCCGCTGCCTCTGCTTGCTCTGTTAGCTTCAACCACTACATCTGCCATGACCCTGCCGCTCACGCTTGGTGCCTGTGTACCGACTTCGTCGCGCCCTGATGATAGGGAGAGGAGGAGGAAGCCGTGGTGAGCAACGAGGAGGCCAACCGCATGTCGTTGTTTTACGCATACCCCACTCCCATGCTTAAAACGGTCAGCGATGCAACGACCAAGTTTGTCTCGGAGAACCACGAGATCCCGGTGGAGAACACGACCGACTTTCTGGCCACACTCGCCACCATTTGCCGTGTCATGATCGAGTCCCCGGACATCTACAGCCGCTTTGAGAAGCCTGACACGGTCACGTTCTGCCAGAGGGTAATGGTCGGAGCCATTATCCTTTACGACCATGTGCATCTGGTTGGCGCCTTCTCCAAGAAGAATCAGTCAATAGACGTGCGTCCTGATCCCCTCTCTTTGCCCTGCCTGGTGGATGCTGAATGGTTGTCTGCTCGTTCTCACGCGCATGTTGTGTTGTAGATTCGTGCATCGCTCAAGGCCCTGAAAATGCACGAGAACCCACATCTAGAGAATTTGCTGAATGCGCTGCGCTTCTCAACCAAGCATCTGAGTGATGACTCGACGCCCAAGGACATCAAGAAATTATTAAATGTTTAATCTGTCAACAAGATGTTTGGCGTGCACTCTTCTTGCTTCGCCGACACTTTTATCCTGTACCCCATCCAACCTTCTCTTTGCCGCCCTGGGCCACGCCCACGGCCACGCGTATGCTTGGCATCAATCACCTCGTGCGCCGCTTCGGATTGTGTTGGATGCCCCCGTGGGATGAGTCGACATCTTGTGTCTTCATCCCGCCCGCATGCTGGCTCATTCCTTTGTCTTGTGCCTCGCGTTTTGTTGTCCCTTTGTGGCCCTTCTTGTCCTTCATGTATAAGTCCTGGTGCTTGTGTGTCCTCGTCCCTCGTCCCTCGTTTTCTTTTTTTTTTTTGCTCCTTCCGCTTTGCCTTGTGGCGTGGCGGCCTCACGGACCTTGGATTTGTGCTTAATGCATGCCCCTTCGTTTTCTCCTCCCTATGCCGCCCTCCATCATTTCCTTCTCGTTCGCTCGTTGCCTCCCGTTCGAGCCCAGACCTAGCTAGCTGGTGGGCTGGCGGACCGCCGCCTGTGCTCTGCATTTTGATCTTGAATTTTTGTTTTTGGGAGTATTCCTGCTTTGGTTGGAAAATTCAAAGGCTTCTTTTGAGAAAATCTATTCTTTAGAAAGGCGAAGTGTCTGATGGGGCATAGGGTGAGCGGCCACCGTTCATTTGGATCGGGCTGAGAGGGAAGCTAGTTTTGCATGCTCCTCCGCAGCTTCGCGGCTGTGTTGGCCTGTACATTGCCAACGGAATGGCACCAGGTCAGGATGGTAACAAATCAGACATCGGGACGCAGAAAAAGAAGGCGGTCTGGCACGTACCGTATGCATGCTCTACAATGGCCAAAGTTTGCTCCACCCATGGCTTTGCGGCTGCGGCATCCCCCAATTCGATAGCTAGTCGGCGAGCCACGGCATCGAACAATTCCTAACATTCACACGCCAGATGAAGAGAATGCGAGTGCAAGCACAGGAACACTCCCAAAAGGGGCGCAAAATGACGCTGACACGGGCTTACCAGGAGATCTGGATGCAGAGGCTCGTACTGGCTCGCTAAAGCATGACAGCGTGTCTTAATCTCATGCTCCCAAGTAGTTCGGGAGGCAGGAGAAATGGTTGGCACACCTGCCAAGTCCAAAAGCTCCTGACGGTCTTGGACCAAGGCCGGTAAGTCCACGGCATCCATACCCGCAGCCCCGCAGACAGAGCAGCTTGTGGCTTGGACCAAGGCTCTGGGTCGTAGCACTTGCAAGAGTTTGAGACTGAAGAAGGAGGCACCAGTGACGCGCAACGGCTGGCCACAAGCAATGCAGCGGGCGCTGGGGAAAAGGTTTGCGGCCTGTGCTGGGGCGCAGGCGATACATTGGCATGCAAAATTGAAGGTGTTGCGTAGCTGTGTCTGACGGGCTGCATGCCAGGCGTCGCGCACGGCCAACGGTCCGTAAGATATTGTGAGCTCGCTATTGGCAGGAATGGGTTTGGAGGCGGTGGCCACCAGTTCATCGCCATGAAAGCTATCAGAGACCAATTGGTCCGGACGGGCACGAAGAGAAGGCTCGTTAGCATGACCAAGGAGATAACGTGCAAGGAAAAGGAGCAATTTGAGCCGGTCGAGCCGTACTGTAGGTGCACGTTTGGGACACAGCTGTGGTTGAACAAACTGCCATGTACAAAGAGGCCGGCACCGTATACTTGATGCACCACTCCAACCTCGCCGTTTTGCTCAGACGGTTGCAACTCGACCTGCGCCAAGCCGTGCTGATTATGTCGTAAGACTCTTAGCAGATGTTGTCGCAGGCCAGTGACTGTGGTAAGATCTACAGAGCAGGCGGGTTGAACATTGTGGGCATGCCCTTTCAACTATCAAGGGGGGGCACACGCATCAAATTGCGAGCGAGGGCCACTGACCGCATTGTGTGCATTTTGCTGACTGCCACCAAGGCTGAGACGGGAGATGTGCATGAGACTGCGCCCAGCTGCCCTGGTGCACGGCAACGGCAGAGGCTTTGTCGCCGTCATCGTCGTCGTCGTCGTCTTCCTTCATGTCTTCGTCTCCTTCTGTTTGGTTTGATGAATGTTGCAGTCCAAGGATGCCGGTTGGATCCGGGTCGGAGCGCGGCCGCACGGTATCCAAAGTGGTGGCATCGCAGGATGGGTCAGACTGTGCCAAGCAAGAGGCGACTCGGGCAGCCAGGGCTTGACGAAGCGAGCTTGGCTTCAAAGGGGTAACCTCACTACCCGGCGGAGTAGCAGGGCATGCTTCGAGGTGCCAATGATTGGCTTTGGCGTGGCACTCTGTGCTACAAAAGACACGGGGGCAATTGGGGCAAGGCAAAGGCGCCCAAGACTCGTCCAGGCATTCGTGACAACGGAGGTAGTTTTCTTGGGTTGTGGTCGGGGCAAGGATGCTAGCAAAGGCGCGTTCACGCAGCAGCACGTCACCAGCGGCAAGGGGCGTTGAAGTCTAAGGAGGCGTTTGTAAAGTGTGGGAAGGAAGCAATGTCACAAGAATAAGCAGAGGCGCGGAGAGGTTGCGGGTCTTTGCACCCTGTCCCATCACGTGGAATCGAAGGAGACTGGTTGTCTTACGAAAAGGGCACGGCCTTTGTGCGGAAGGCGGCGCACGTGTAGGGCTGGGCTGCGGGGCTCGCTGGCACCTGGTGGCAGCCGACGCGTGCCTGTCAAGTCTGGGTGCTCGCTGGCCGGATTGGCGGCCAGGGATTGGGCGGTTAGGGAGTGGCGGTGATCCAGCTTTTGCTGCTGAGTCTGTGTGAGGAGCAGGGGATCGATGCGGTCTAGGGCCTGCTGGGCATCGCGAGTTCGGTGGCGCCTGTCTCGAGGCAAAGTGTCTGACTCGGCCGCGGCCTTTAGACAGACATGGGCCAGATTCAGATTGATAACAGCCGCAATGGTCTTCTTTCTGTCTTCTCCTGTCCGATCATCATCGGCCTGTACCCCAGCCAACGCCTGCCCATAAAGAGCAGCCGCCGCCCGCCAGCGCCCAGCGCGCACCTCCGCATTGGCGCGCGATTTGAGCTGTTCCGCCAGCTCCTCTCTCATGCTGACAATTCTCAATGAATTGTCAGATAAAATGAGAGAGTGTGACTTGAAGACGAAAGACTGTTCTTTTCCCTTTCACCTGGGCACATCTGCGTCATCATCTTGTTTGTTTATGCCCTGGTCGCCCATGCATCTCTTGTGCTCAAGCTGCTCCATTGTCTTCTTTTTCCAGAGATAGAGGAGGGAGAGAGGGAGGGAGAGAGAGCGACGATAGAGAGAGAGAGAGAGAATTGACATGGACTTCACCGTGTGAGTGCGTAAGCAGTGCGCAGTGCTACAACACACAAGCAACAGTGACTTTTGGTAAAAAAAAAGCTCATGAGGAGTTGCAGCACAAGCGAGACGAAAGCTACACTTTACGGTATCGTTCAAGTGCCAAAGTGCAAACTTGAGCACAATATGGTCCTTACCCTTGCACACGTCCTCGTTCTCCGTACGCACCAACGTATTCAGCTCCGTGTCCGAATTCAGTTCAACAGCCACAAAGCAAAAGCCTCAAAGGCCATAAGCCAAAAAACAAGGCAAAAAGCAAGGCGAAAAGCAGAGCCAAAAAGCAAAGGGTTTCCCTCCTTATGGAAAGGGACTAACATAAAAAGGGTGATGGTGCCTAAGCTTATAAGCTTATCTGAGGCGGACTCGCTTGCCATACACATTGGCTCAACGCACACGCGTCAGTGCCAGTCAGTGGGGTGGTGGGGAGCCGTGCATGAAGCCTTTGTGGGAGTGAGGTGTATGGCCCATTTTTCCAAACGACCATCCTGATGGCAACGGCAGCGTCGGGCACCAATCATGACCCCAATGGTAGGCCGCGCGCGTCGTATGATCCCCAGACTATGGCGGAGAGAGCGCGGAAAGTAGTAGGAGTTTTTTTTCTTTTTCTTTTGGCGCGTGCCCTTTGGCCATTGATGATGAGGGTGGCGGCGGCGATGGATGATGTCGTGCTTCTGTGGTTGCGGTATGGCATCTTAGGACCACCCGCCTTCAAGATCGTCAAACAGGCGGTCATCCAGTGCCTAAGAGATAACATCATCTCGAAGCAACTCGGCCACCCTTTTGACCTTGATGGTCAGGCAGGGGCTCATGTCGGCTTGGAACTTTCGGATCGCCTGACTGCCCTTGCCGCGGAGCTTGATGAGTCTCGCGACGTTTCCACTCGCTTGGTCTCGAGCCTTGAAGTCCATCAAGACGTTGAGACTGTTGCCGCCAACCTGGGCCCTGAGGTTGATTCGCTCTTCGATGATCTCTTTACCGTGCTCTTCCTTCTCAGTGTCTGGCTGTGTGCCACATCAAGTGAGTGCTTACCACATACTTGCTCCACACCCTCTCGTTTGGCCACGGCCCCCGACTCACCAACTTTTTCTCGGGTTTGCGATAGACCAGGGAAAGAATGCCCTTTCTCTGCAAGGGTTGACGAAACCCAGCAAAAAGAATCTCCAAAGGATCGCATCCTTGCTGTCAGCCGATCGGCAAAAACTGATCGCAGCCATCGACACCATCTATGGCCAGGACAGTCACCACCTCAAAGACCTCCAGAACTTGGCAGGTTGGATGACTCAAACGATTCACCAAGAATTATCCCCCAAAGATGCCGATGGTCGCCCGCTTAAGCGAGCCAAGTTGAGCTCAAGCCAGCCCGATCTCCTGGGTCTTCTCTTGAAGGTCCTCGATGTCCTCAAGGTGTACGTGCCTGAGCTTGGATCTGAACGCAAGTCAAAAACGACTGCTCGCAACAAGAACGGCATTCTGGGCATGCTGGCGCGCTCGAGTGGTGCCTTCAAGCGTCTGGCAGGGCGAATTACGGGCCGTTTAAAGGAGGACGATTTCGTCGCCAAAGTCCATGCACAGGTCGATGACTTTTTGAGTTGGCCCGAGTGGCCCCTCGAGCTGATTCCAAGTCTGCCCTCTTTCAGCAGCAATGGTGCCGAGCTGCGTTGTCCTTTGACGTAGCTTGTCGCCATTGGTTGACTGCTGCTCAGTGCGACGTCGCTGCTGCGACTTTGGCTGCAAAATCCTTGTTCCAACGGAATAATGTATTTTGCAGCCTAGGTCGCGACAGCGGTGTCGTATTAAGTAGCTGTTCTACTTTGGAAACACACTCTGTCTCCAAAGGTCGCCCAATGCAATTCATGCCACATCGTTGACCATGCCATGTTAGAGATCAACTCCTGTGTGTGTGTGTGTGTGTGTGTTTTCATAAAAAAGAGACAAAGAAATAAAAAAAAAAAAGAGAGAGAGAGAGAGAGAGAGAGAGAGAGAGAGAGAGAGAGAGAGAGAGAGAGAGAGAGAGAGAGAGAGAGAGAGAGAGAGAGAGAGAGAGAGAGCGCGTATGTGAGTGATGCAGTGAAGATCATGGGTCATGTGTGCACGGGGTGTGTTTGATGAGGAAAGTGGTGCAGGCTGGAGCAATAGGGATTCCATTAATTGAATAAAACAAAGGGACGAGAGCAGGAATGATGATGTCGTCGCTGGGTTCAGGCTTGACTAAGAACTAGCGCTAGGCATGGGGCTTGTCGCGGAGGTGTTGAGATAACCAAATTTGTGAAGATCCTTGAGGGAGACATCGATGCTGATGATGGCCGATCCGTGCGAGGTGACACGTGTGACTGTCAAAAACGGCAGAATCCAAACGCCACAATTGGCAGCGCGTGTGGCATGCGGTTAGGGATGAGGCATGGGGGGTGAGCGGTTGGGCAGATACAACCGCTCGACGCGGGGCGCGGGTTGACAAAGAAAGCGCGGGGGAGCCGGAACAAACCTTCACGGCCTTCTGATTTGGCGACGATGGTGGAGTTGACAAATTCGGGGCGCTTGCCAGAGAGAATGCTGTGCACGGGTTGCCCAACATCCCATGGACACCAGCAATGGATGCCCAAGGCAAAGGAGGTGCGCAAAAGAAGCAAGCAGAGTTGTGAGCGGGCGCGCCAGCGAGGGGCCGGGTAAGAGGTAAGGGCCAAGCAGTCATCGTTGGCTGGTGGGTCAACGACATGGAGCAAGGCTGAAAAGCGTCGCGTTGAGAGGAAGTAGCGTGGTAGATCGAGGCCTGACCCAATATAGCGTTGGAGCAGGGAGACGTCTTGCGGCACAAACAGTGGAACACGCAGCTGGTGGCGGCCAGCGGTGGTGGGGAGGTGGACGGCACCGTAGCCGCGAACGACATCACGGCCCATGAAATCACTGCCGTAGGCGCTCAGCACCAATTGTGGCCCTGCGCGATGAGAGCATGAAGCAAACGGCGGACCAAAATGAGCGCCGTGGTCATGGCGGTGAGCTCGCACCATGGGCGGTGTGTGAACGGGCGCACGGGCGAACGCACAGCCAAAGGGGTTGGTGCTCTTGAAGGTAGCCTCCACGGGCAGATTAAAGACAAAATCACCATCGGATTGGCCGTGCACACTTGTCTGGCTGAGGCCTTCTTCCAAGCCCTGAGATCCGGGTGACGTAACGGGCGTGTGAGGAGGGCACTATTGCATTGGCACAAGAGGGAGAAGGAGGGGCAAGTCAACCAGCGGGATCGACGGCACACACCGCCGTCATGGCCCAATCGGTGCCAAAATCTAGCTTGTACTTGCAGTATAAATCAGATACGCCATCGTACTATTGAGCGCACCGCGAGTCACGGGCGGACCACGCACAGCCCAAGATGCCCGCTTGAGTGAGACCGGGTGTCATGGTCACGATAACGCAGGTCCTTTGCGGGGGGTGTCATGGACACGAAAACAAGAAAGAAAACATTCAAAAAAAAATGAATCAAATCAAGCAACACCAATACCTGGATGCGAGCCACCTCGCCATGAACGACAAGCATAAAAACATTGGGCCCTTCTAGCCCACGCGAGCGGCTTCCGGGCGCCGCGACGCCGGCATCGCCGGCGTCCATGACAATTTAGTGCCCACCGCCGGCCAACAGCGCCACCACGCGTCGAGCGACGAGAACGGGGCCACCCGCTCCTTGGCACCGACCGTCAATCAAGGCAGAAGGAAGCGGAGGCGAGGGCGGCGGAAGGACGCAAGCAGACTGCAGTGAGCCGGTGCCAGGAGCTGGCCGCGGGACGTTCAGAGTCGGTTGTCGGCCGGCGTTTCAGAGGCTTTGGCAGCAAATATGCAGGTTAATGTCGATGGTATGAGAAAGGTAATGGAGGTTGTTGTAGACATGACGGGACCTTTTGAAGCAGTGAAAGGTGGCTGGGAACTACACTTAAAAGGGGGAGTTTCACTATAAAACTCACATCCTTGTCAGACAAAACTTGGCTGCGAGCCATAAACTAAAGTGTAAAACCGTCGGGACCGAGCGATTTGTTTTTTATGGGAAGTGGTAGGTCTGTAGTAGGCACCATCTTCTCGACTGGCTCCATCTACCTTGTGGCCAAGTGGGACAGCCGTGTGTGTGTGTGTGTGTGTGTGTGTGTGTGAGCTGTTAGCTTTTGCTTTGCGCGGCAGCAAACACAAATCAACAACACTGCAAGGCGACACGTTCGGCCCGTGAAGCAAGTATCGAAAGTGTGCTCGTTGTCAAGCATCCATGTCAGAGGGTCTGGAGAGCCCACAGATCCGGAGCAGTGGTGTGGGACCTTTGCAGCCGGCGCGCGGCGCACGATGTGGGGTTGCGAAACAGATTGGTGATCTGGAAAGCAATTTCCTTTGAAGTCGCGAATGTTCAAGGTAATGACATTACTATCCATGTCTGACATTCATTTTAGGTTAGCATGTGGCCGCGTTGGGCCGACGCGTGGCCGATGACGCTGAAATCATGCTCATCCACTCACGCGTTGCTGGCGTGAATTCCCGTTACACCTTCTCCATGTACTCCTGCCCACAGCATCTGCGAGCCCACCACTCCTGGTCAGCTTCCATGTGTGCGCTGTAGGGTGGACGGATGGATTGACTCACCCACCCACCCACCCACCCACGACATACCTCCAGAACCGTCAACCACCACAATACCCCCCTTCCCCCCCACACCTCTTCACACTAATTTTTCACCCCCCGTTTGTTTACGTTTCTCTTTGCCATGTGGGTCCAACGCGTTGAAAAGCCCACATTTCTGGTTCAACTCACACTCCTGATGTTCAGAGAGTCACTTGTGGCCATTCCCGCACTGCAAAGGAAAAACCGGCCACAGGCAGAGAAGGAGAAGATGAGAGAGTGGAGAGCCAGAGGTGGAGACGAAGAAGGGATGGAGCCAGAGAGGATGGGTGGAGAGGATGAAAGTGCCAGAGGCCTGAGGTAACACGTTGATGGCCGGCCCACAGAAATCAAAGGGGAAAGAAGAGGTGGATCGGGATCAGCAAACAAAATCTAGAGACAGCAGCTGACGCAGATTCAGAGCCAGAGATAGAGGGATACCACGGCACCAAAACCAGAGAAGAGTAATGTTGGTCGCCGCGCTCGACTCGGTAACCACCGACACCTGCCTGCTGCTGGCTGCCATTTTCCTCTTCTTCCGCACGTTTTGGATACTCTTCGTCAACGCGGCCACCCGGACCTGACCTGAAGCTCGACTTGGCCACCCTTCTGCCCGCTCTCTGCCACCTTTCCACCCAAGGGCTTGCATTTTTTTTCATCTTCTCAACACGCCTGGTTTTTTTTATTATTAATCTTTCATATATCCATCGACTGCCAAATGCATAGCGAGTGCAATGCAGATGGCCATTTCCTCCATCCCCGCCACATCTTGTCGTCATTCTACTTCCTGCCTCATGCCTAAACCTGCCTCATCCTCTCCTTCTCCTTCTTCTTCTTCTTCTTCTTCTTCTTCTTCTTCTTCTTCTTCTTCTCACGCTGCCACATCGTCCACCATGAGCTCTCCCAACCGACTGCGTTGCTCTCGCTGCGACTCCCGCTTCCGTTCTCGCTCCTCACTTCGCCGACATGAACGCAAGCACGACGCTGGTGCTTCCTCCCACGAATGCCACATTTGCGATCGAACTTTTTATCGCAAAGATCACTTTGTAAGTTTGCCCCACCCTTTGAGTTTTTTTTTTCTTCCTGTTTTTTTCCTCCATCTGAAAAGAAGAAAGAAAAAAGAAAAAAAAAGAAAGGGACAAGCTTTTGTCTGTTGCTGGGCACATGTTTGGTGTCGGTTTGTTTTGGGCGATAATGTATACAAATGTCATTGGCTTTGGGGCCATTGGGCTTGAGTCCATCACCCGACTTTGCTCCCTCTGCCTAGCTCCGCCCCTTTGAACCCTGTTGGTGCTCACACGGTTACGCCCCCCTCGCCCCCCGTTTGCTCGTTTGTAGCGCTATCACTTGGTTTCGGCCCACAACATTGGCGAGCGCCTGGCCTGTCAATCTTGTGACAAGTGGTTTGCCACTCGCAGCTCGCTCAAGCGTCATATGGACGCGATGCATCCCACTGAGGTCATGGTCTGGCCGCCTCGCATCCTGCCTGGCTCTGAATCAGCCGCGATTCCGGCCCAGACCGAGAGTGCGACCCACCATATGGCCTCCTCGCCGGCCCCCACCATCAACGCCATCTCCAGCTCGGACGACAGCTGCCACAGCTTTGACGCTCACGAGCTCACCCCAAGCCATGAAAACACCCACCCCGCCGCCCTTCTCGATTCAGTCCCCGAGTCGGCCCTCTCAACGGCGACCGTGGCCAATGCCAACCGCTGGCTGCTCAACGATGACATGGACATTGATTTTGCTGCCAACGATATGACCTCGGACGACATTTGCTCCATCCTCAATCGCCTTCCCGAGTCGGCACTGCCTCCGGTTGCTCCTGCCACACTCAGCAACGACGGTCAACTCGAACCATCTCCACTGGCAGCCCCATCCCTCACGCCCCACGCCCTGGTGTTTAGCACCACCCAAGAAACGACAAACACCACCCTGCTGGATGTCCCCAACGTCATCGCCTTTGGCTCACCGGCTAGCAGCCATGGCTCGGCCACACCAGCCACCGATGGTATGGCCCAGATTGAGGCCCCCACTGCGATCTTGCAGCAGAATGACGAGATGATTCGCTCATGGCTCGACCAGACCTGCTGCGACTTTCCTGAATTGGTGGCCCTGGCCCAGCAAGCCCCGATCTGCCCAACCGAGAACGATGACGCGATTGATCACAAGCTGCGAAACATTCTCATCCAGTCCTTTACCCTTTTGAAGAACCGTGAGGCATTGCGCGCCCACCAACCCCCCTCGACCAACCCTCATCTCCAAACGGCCTGCTGAAGTTGGCATGGCCCCTTTTTCCCCTTTTTTCTTCTTTCTTTTTGTTTTTGATTTTCTCTCTCTCTCTCTCTTTTTTTTTTTTTTTTTCCATCATAACCTCGTTAGTCCATCCCAAGCTATTTTGGGGAGCGCACGATCCCCATTGTTTTCCCTTGATTTCATCATCATTATTCCCATTTTCATGCTTATTCTTTCAGTCTTCCCTTTACTTTTTGTTTTGTTTTCCATCTTTTTGGTTTCACTTGATCATTCCCCAGCCCTCGTGTTAGGGCTGGCGGTCCATGCTGTGTCCACGGTATCGTGGACATTTGTTTTTGGCTGTTGCAAGTCGCTTATCGCCCAGACTTTGCCTGCCATCCTCTTGGCTTTATTCGCCTCTGCGTGCATATTATATGCAAAAGCTTCCGCTGGCCTTATTTTTTTTACATTGCCTGTGTAAGCGGTTGCTGTGTGTTCAACTCAAATCATCTTATCTCGTGTGCATCCCCATTGCTATGGGAGCCTCTCATCCATCTTTTCGTATTTTGCCATCATTCTATATCGCTTCATTCTTTTTTGTAGTCTTGTTTAGTTTCTTTTTTCTTTTTTTCCCTTGGTTTCCCCTTATCGCTTTTACTCTACATTCTTATCTTGTGAATCATTTTATCACGTCTTCATTTTAGGTGGTGAAGTTGACTTTTCACCTCCACTTTTTTTGACTCGCTTCCTTGTACCTTCCATTTTACTCTGCTTAGGTTTCTCTCATGTATCTTTCTTGCTCTCTTTTGGTCAAAGCAACAAACGGGTTCATCTTCTCGTTGCTCGTTTTTATGTCACCATTTGACTTTTGCCTACCTCAGGCGAGATGGACACATTCCTTCTTATCTCTCGAGGTTGTTTCTCCAGTTTGGATGTTTATGACGATTGTGTTCTGACTGGCCTGCTTGTTCTTTGAAAGAAAAAAAAAAGAGCAAGAAAGATTTTTTGAACAATTGAGTGTTCATCAGGCACTGACGAAACCCTCGAGCTTCGAATCTCGTTTAAAATATTACACAAAAAGGTCAAGGTTTCGATGAACGATCACGCACGGCGGACGCGTTAGCAATGGATGCACACGGTATCACATTGGCTGTGCTGGGCAGGACGGATACCACCCAAAAAAGTAACATAGAAATATCCATGAGTTGAAACCCACAACTAGTGAAGCACAACGTTGGAGAGTCGTCGTGCAAGACTGGTCGGAAGCTTGGCTGCAGCCTACAGGGCGGATTTTTAAATGTTCATACACACGCGTGAGAAACGCAGATAAAAACGCCAAGCAGAACACAACTAATTTGCTTGACTGTTGAGGGCAATGGCAAGGCAGATGACTGCGTTTGTAAACTCACTTCAGCTTGCGGCATGTCTTTGGCACAGGCACGCAGACACAATTGCTCGAGGGAGGGAAGAGCGAGCTGGAGGAGGCAAACGGCAGGGCCGATGACCTGTGTCCGCAATGGTTGCCGGCGGACGGCGCCTCCGAACAGGAGTAGGGTCTCGTTCCACAGGCATGATGCGTGCCAAAGCCGTGCATGCACGGGGGCATCGATGCGATGCCATTGGGCCTCACAGGTGTCATATGCCCATAGATCACCGTGTGGCGGGGCGTGGTCGCGCACCGTAAGCCCTCCCTGAATGTACAGCCAGCGGTCATGGAGCAGTTCTGCCACGTGCCACGAGCGGGGCGCTGGTCGATCCTGATCAGCAGCATTGGTCGGGGCCAACTCGGTCCATTCACCGCGCAATAGGTCAAAGCGCCAAAAGTCGTTGCAGCGAGCGTCCTTAGTTCGGCCCCCAAAAAGGTACAGACAGTGCTGTGTCGGTGCGGGCGTTAATGTGAAGGCTGCACGCGGAGCTGGCCAGGGCACGCCCTTGTCGATGGCGATTCGATGCCATGTCACTTCCTGGCGGGTGAAAAGATCGCGGAGATCAAGGATATGCATGCTGCTGAGCCAGGCTTGATTGGTATGTTCAGCACTGATGTGGGCGTGGTCCTGGCCTTCGTCGCGGTACAAATCGTCCAGCTCGCTAAAGCGTGCCCAGCCACCCATGAGAATCATAAAGGGTCCATGGATGCAGGCGCAGTGTTTATCACGGGCCCGAGGCCAGTCGCCTTTGACTGTGATGCTTTGGATATCGACCGAAGGGTCACCCTCCACTGAGTGTTCGTGTGGATGGAAGCGGGGAAAAGCAATCGGCTCCTCTGTGTCTGTCAGATCGTCTTCCTCGAACATGCTGGGCCGGCCGATCACATGAACCTGCTTTGAGGTGTGAATGTCGAAGAAGGAGAGCTGGTGGCGCCAAATCGCGTGTCAGAAGGGAAACAAAACAAGCGGCTCGTCAATCACAACAAGGTACGTTTGGTTGGTGCACGAAGAAATCAAATAAAAAAATACATAAATAGCAAATAAAGAAACAGACACCTCCTTCCAGGAGGCGAGGGTATGCGTTGGTGCAAAGATACCTGATTTGAGCTTGAGTTGCCCACAAATCCACCGTGGCTGATGATAAAGCGATCAAGGTAGTTGACGGCAGTGCCACCAGGGGAGTGTTGAATGTAGCCTGCGAGGTTGTCGGGATGCACTGTGAGCTTGTCCGAGCAAACCAGGGCTGGCGAAGACAGGCGAGGAGAAGGCGGTGGGCCAGAAAAAGCTTGCTCGGAGCTTCTCCGTACCACTGTCGTAATCTTCATCAGGGCAAAGTTCGCCGGCAGTCCATTCATGTGTCCGCAAGTCAAAGATGCTGACACCTATGTTTGCATTTTGAAGACTGATGCTATTGCCACCTGCATGTCAAGAACAAAGCAAGGATACGGTGTATGAGCCAACGGAAAGGGATTCTGCTTGCGCGTGGTCTTGCGAACCAACCGAGAAAGTACAGTCGATGGCCGCTGCGAACGACACGGCAACCGTAGTGGTGCCCCAAGAGGTCAAGATTCGGCAGAGTCTAATTATTCACACCAGTCCGATGAGATCACGTTGAAAACATCAATCGGATACAAGGATAGCCACTTGTGGACAGGCGCCAACAGACCTGCCAACTGGAAATGGTCTTGAACATGCTTATTGTTCAGTGAGCTCAGCCCGTTCACCTCCTCTAGCGGTCTGCCCTGGCTGCCATCCGCTCCAGTGTCGCCAAAAAGAAAAAAGAATGCCTTGTTCGAACATTTGCATCTAAACACAAGCTAAATTTGGCATTGTTCTTCAAGTGTGATATACAATACACTTTTGCTCGTGTGCCACGATCACAAGACTCTCTCTCTCTGTCTCTGTCTCTGTCTCTGTCTCTGTCTCTGTCTCTGCCTCTGTCTCTGCCTCTGTCTCTGTCTCTGTCTCTGTCTCTGTCTCTGTCTCTGTCTCTGTCTCTGTCTCTGTCTCTGTCTCTGTCTCTCTCTCTGTCTCTGTCTCTGTCTCTGTCTCTCTCTCTGTCTCTGCCTCTCTCTCTCTCTCTCTCTCTCTGGTCTCACATCACATCGTCGTTTGAGGTCTCGGGTCCAATTGGTGAATGTACGCAGGCCTGCGGTGCTTCTGGGGGTGAATAGATGAGCAGAGGCCTGATTGCCTGTGTCGGCAAGAGTAGCGGGCCAGCAAGATGCGCGTTTCAAATGATTCGGTGCGTGCGTGCGTGGGCACAAGGGGCTCTGGTTGGCTTTTGCGCGCTTTGATCATTGGGCCGGGCTCACCGCTTCACGTCTTGCTTTGGCGCTTTTGCAACAGTTCCTCTCTGGACTCACACGATTCTTTGACACCGCGAGTGAAAAAGACAAGGGCTCGGTCTTCATCACCATGAAGCCAGGTTTGTGATGGCAAACTGCTGCATACTCAACTGATGCGACCCGCTTCACGTCCTGCCGTGCGCGATTGCGTGGTTCGCTGACCTCAACCCTCGCTCGGGTGCGGCATCGGGCATCTAGTCACGTTCAAGTCCAAAGCACAAGCCAAGGCCGAGGCGAAGGACTCATCCCAAGCCACCCCACCCACAATTGTCATCCGAGCTACCCTCGGGCGGAAAAAAATGAGCACCGAGGTCTGTTTTGACCGCGTCGCAGATGGCTTTCCACACCCAACTCCAAGCCCAAGTTCTCGCACATATTGGACGCCCACGCTTTTGGACAACAGTAGCGTGCTTGGTTTACACTCATCGTCGCCTCTCTTGTAACACATTTGCACTTTTTTCTCGGGGTGGGGTGCTTCCTGCGCCTGGGCTGCAACATAGGTTTTGCCTGACCATCTTGAGCAGTTTCGCTCCGTAAGACTTGCCTGTCCTAGCCGTTCAGGGCACAGCCTGCTCTTGACGCACTCCTCACGCTATGCCCTGCCCCCATCATGTACCGCCTTGGCTCGTCGAGCCAGGAATATAGCATCCTCCTTCGCGCTAAAATGGCCAACATGAAGAAGCGACCAAAGGACAAGAAGAAATCCTCCGCCAAGACTCCTTCTTCGGCTTGAATGCCCAGAGCCACAGACTTGTCCTAGCCGCCACCAATCTCATGACTGATGATGGCCAAAAGGAGTTATTGCTAGCCCCATGACTCCAACCACCCCTGGCTGAGCCCGACTTGCATGTAGACACGCCCTCGCCCTTTCCTTTCGATTTGATTTGTTCCGTGAGTGTGCTCGCGTTTGTGTGTTGGATGGCTTCCTGACCACATTTGTGCCCGCGCTGCTGTTTTTACCCGACAGCAATGCTTCCCCAAGGCCTACACCCATCCTTCATTCCATTCTTGAGTTGTTGTTTGATGCTTCTCTCTCTCTCTCTCTCTCTCTCTCTCTCTCTCTCTCTCTCTCTCTCTCTCTCTCTCTCTCTCTCTCTCTCTCTCTCTCTCTCTCTCTCTCTCTCTCTCTCTCTCTCTCTACCCCCTTCTCTCCCGTTCCCCTTTCCTTCTCTTGTGTCTCTTTCTCTTTCTTTCTCTTTCTTTTGGGGGTTTTTGAAAGGGGTCCTTGCTTCTTCTTGTGTTTTTTTTTTTTCTGGGGCATGAAGGAATTCAACAGAAATTCAAACATCCAACTTGGCAAGGTCGTTCATGAGACACTGTTCGCCTCTGTCGTGTGTTCGCGGCGGGGCCGCACCTGGATGCGCATGGCACGGAAAGATGAGCAAGCATTGGCTACCTGTTTCATGGAAGGGACCTTGGAGCAAAGAAGACGAACCTGCTGCCCCGTCAACTCTTGCACCATCTGAAAGTCAGCGCCTGCAGCTTGCAAGCGCGCTGCCCCGCCTTTCCAGAGGCGTGCATATTTCTCATTGCGTCGTCGTACCTGTGTGTATCGTCAGCAGCCACGACGGCAGAGGGTGAGTTACATCGCCCAATTGTTGCTCTCACTTTCAAGGAGGATGCGTGCTTGAGTGTTACCTGCATGATCTTGAGCTTCAACCAATACGGATTCAGCACTGCTGAGAGTAGAAATGCTCCTCCGAGTACGTAGAAGAGTGGGATAATGGGTCCACCGAGAACTCTACTCGGCAGAGGCAAGCAGGCGATGGCATGATGCAGCGCGTGGGCGTGTTGCGTAGGCAAGTACCGACGTATTGCATGCGGCCGTACCCGTAAGGAATATTAAGAAGAATTCGCAGCCAGACCATCAAGTCGATGCAGTTGCGACATAAAACCCAGAGCGTGATCAAAATGTACTGTGTGCAAGTGGCATCCAAATCACGTATAAGCCGAGGGCGGTTGCAGACGTATGAAAAGCGAGCCTAGGTATGTCAGCAAAGGTACCAGTGGCACCAACTTGATTGACATCCCAAATCCAGTGTGCATCGCGCCCTTGTTTGGTCAAAATCCATCCAATGTGGGTGAACGGCGCATGCAGTTCCTACAAACCAAAAACCCATTCGATAAAAAAAAAAACAAAAAAAAACAAAAAAAACATCAAATGCTTGCTTGAGAAGATCGGCCTGGCCTAAAGAAGGAAAACAGGGATGGCGTGGCATGTGAAAATTTCTGCATACCTGAACGAGGACAACGCAGGCAAAGTAGAGGTAGGAGCGCGAGTAAAATGTCAACAGATCTATGATTCATCCGGTTGCGCACATGTCATGATGGGCGGTGGTACACCATGAAAGGTGAAGAGCATGATGCACACGCACAGAGAATCACGCCCATGGTGTGATGAAAAATGAGCGACTCCTCCCGGACATCGTGGGCCAAGTACATGTTGAGTGAGTCACGCGTTTCAAAGATGAAAAAACCTATGGTTGCCCGTGCACGGGGGCAACACGGCAGGGGGATGAGCTGCGGGCCTACAACATCTGATTTGCAGTTGTTGCGCTCAAGCATGTAAAGTCAGGCAGGCAGGTGGCTGGTATCAGCACCAACCCAGGGCAAAAGCGGCTGTATGCGTCAATAGAGGTGGGTCGCCATACACCAACTGTGGCAGAATTTGCGATCGTTGCAGCACCAAGATTGAGTTGGGGCAGGCTTGTGGTGCGGCCAAACAGGTGCGACTGAAAGTGAAGGGGCACGTACATCCTCGGGCGGTCCTTCCCAAAGCACTCGCAGGCCTATGAGGCCTAGAATCAAGCCCATCGTGGCTCGATTCAGGCCAGAGTTCTAACGATTCGGCAGCAAAAGGCGCCCGCCCCCCGCAAGCATGAGCGAATGTGCCAAAGTCTCAAGTTGGGAGTACCACAATAGGATCACGAATCAGGATCTCACCCATCGGTGCTGATCCTTGAGATTCAGACGATAGTAGGTCTGCAGAGCCATTCAGCAACAACAAGTCATTGGGAGTCGAGTGGGATGCAGCTGTCAGCGTGTGCTGTGACGGTCACACCAAGTCTGGTTGACACGGGCAGAGCAGGCGACATGTGGCAGGTAGCAAGAAGAGGTTCGTGTGGTTACGCACTTTGGAAAGCATGCGCGAGAGAATGCCGGAGAGGATGGAGAGGCTTGAGCACATGAAGAAGCTCAGGGCTCCGGCAGCCAGCAAGGTGTCCACGCCACACGCCGCTAAGGCAAGAGGTTGGTCACGGTTAAAACATGAGTTAGCCACTAGCCCATGCGGCACACCTCCACACGGCATTGAGTCGGAGAATCAACATACTGGCCACCGTGTTAAACAGGTCCATGGGCAAATCATACTGCCAGGAGTTGGGCATGGCTGATAGTTTGGTGCCCAAGGCACCTGGCGGTCTGCGAGCAACCCGTTCGCTGTCAAGAGGTAGGGCCCTTGACCTAGTGAGTCTGCCTTGGTGAGTTTCAAGCCACTTGCACCTGGCTCTGGGTCCTGTACCGGCATCACAATTGTCGACACTCTCAGTCAAGGGCCATCCCAGCACCAGGCAGTAACAGCAGGCAGCACCGGGCAGCACCGGGCAGCAGGCAGCAGGCACAAGGCACACACCGGCTTGTCACTTGGGCTTACTTGTGATACTGTAATATATCTCACACTTTAACCACTGGATGACAATGATGGCATAACTACTTACAGCTTGCTGTCTCTTTCTCTGTCTCTCTCTCTCTCTCTCTCTGTCTCTCTGTCTCTCTGTCTCTCTGTCTCTCTCCCCTTCTGTCTCTCAACCTCTCAATCTCTGTCTCTCTACACCTCTCAACCTCTCAATCTCTCTCCTCTCTCTCTGTCTCTCTGTTGTCATCATTTTATCGCGCACACATCTGCACGAGGCCACACACACGGGGGCGACAGAGAGCGGTGGGTTTGGGTGGCGGCGGCTGGTCCTGGTCCTGCTCCTGCTCCTGGTCCTGGGTGCGTTGGTCGGCGGGGTGTCATTATCACGTGGGTTTGATGTGGATGGGCGACAATTTTGGCTTTTTTTGACCTTGGCAGGCTGGGTGATCGGGCGTAGGCACGTATTGTGGAGCTCCTCCTCGACGATCTTGTGCGACCGGCTCGGCCACTTTTGCAATGGCTCACTTTGATAGGTTTGTCTTGCCTCGTCGTTTGGGCTCGGTTTGCACGCGCGCATGCGTGTGCGTGTGCGTGTACGTGCGTGTGTGTGTATGTGTGTGTATGGACAGAGCGAAACGAGAGAGCAGAGGGTGGTGTGTGCGCTTTTGCGGCGCTTTGAATGACCGGTGGTCGTATGCTTCGGCGATGCACATAGCACAACGGCGGAGAATGCGCTGGTAGAGTATGAAAAGCGCACCTACGACGAGGAGATGAAGTATCTTGAGCGCCTCACTCCCTCGTGCTGGCGCATCAAGCCCGGCTTTGTTCCCAACATGAAGGTATCGCTGACTCAAAAGGGACCTCATACCCCACGCCCCCACTGTGTGACGACGCACGGGGTGCTGAATGATGGACACTTGCCTCATCGGTTCAATAGGTGGAAGGTCGCTTTTATGTCAACAAGGCTCTTGAAGCTCTGATGCTCGAGGAACTGCAACAGTTTGCTTCGGCGCGCGGCGTAGGCGGCTTTTTGCCCGCCGTCAAACAGATTGCCAATGTGGCTTCCCTGCCAGGCATTGTCGGCGTACGTGCTCCTCGGCAACGCAAGTGCACCCCTTCCGCCCCCCCTCTTTCTTCGGGCTCGCCCCGGTCGTCATACAGATTTGTTTGTTTCTCTAGGCCTCCGTTGGCTTGCCTGATGTTCACTCGGGCTACGGGTTTGCCATTGGCAATATGGCAGCCTTTGACATGGATGATCCTGAGGCCATTGTGTCACCTGGTTGGTTGGTCGCCTCTTGCTTCAACCACCACAAGCCCCACGCCTGCTGAGCGCTGCTCATGTATGATGCAACGCTTGTTTGCAGGCGGTGTGGGATTTGACATCAACTGTGGCGTGCGCCTTCTCCGAACCAACTTGACCTTGGAGGATGTGGAGCCCGTTAAAGAGCAACTGGCTCAATCTTTGTTCGATCACATCCCCGTCGGTGTCGGCTCCAAGGTATCTTTGCCGTACAGACACAAAATTTGCAGTGGATGTCTGCTCTGAGTCGAATCCTCTCCATCAACATCGGTTTGCTACATATTCCGCCCTGATGAGAAGGCGTTTTCGTTCACTCAACTTTGTGTTGCTCAACTTCCAATCCAGGGCGTCATCCCCATGAATGCCAAGGATCTTGAGGAGGCCCTGGAAATGGGCATGGACTGGTCCCTGCGCGAGGGTTATGCTTGGGCCGAAGATAAGGAGCACTGTGAGGAATACGGTCGCATGCTGCAGGTCTGTAAATCACACTTTGGCAGCATCTCTTGCCTCCGCGGGTCCAGTCGCGTGGCGCGGGACTTGGCATTTGCCGAGAAGGAAACTCACTTGTCCGCCACCTGCCTGTTGTTCATCGCCTGGTTTCTCAACCATTTCAGGCAGATGCGTCGAAGGTGTCGGCACGCGCCAAGAAGCGTGGCTTGCCTCAGCTTGGTACCTTGGGTGCTGGCAATCACTACGCCGAAATTCAGGTGCGCATTTGGCCATTTTGCTCGGGACGGGTCTATCGAAACATTTTGGAGCCAAAAGCGCAACCAGTCAGGATTTTTTTTTTATTTTTTTTATTTTTTTTTTTATTTATTTATTTATTTATTTTTTTTTTTTGGCAAAATGCACGCCTCCCAAGTTTCTTCATGCAATTCCGTCTGCTGCGCATTGACACATGTTGCTTGGCTGGCAAAGGTGGTTGAGGAAATTTATGACAAGGAGGCGGCCGCCAAAATGGGCATCAATAAGAAGAACCAAATCTGTGTCATGATTCATTCCGGTTCGCGCGGCCTTGGTCACCAAGTGGCCACCGATGCCCTCGTTGCAATGGAGAAGGCCATGAAGCGCGATGGCATCGAGGTCAACGACCGCCAGCTCGCCTGCGCGCGGATTCATTCCGAAGAAGGGCAAAACTACCTCAAGGCCATGGCTGCCGCTGCCAACTATGCCTGGGTCAACCGTTCCACCATGACCTTTCTCTGCCGTCAAGTGAGTTGGCGTCTGTGTGCTTTTGGGTGGGAGGTATGCCTGAGCTGGTTGGCGAGATAACTTGCCATTCCTTGCATGTATCGTGGTAGGCCTTTGCAAAGCAGTTTAATACCACCCCCGAAGAGCTGGACATGCATGTTATTTACGACGTGTCCCACAACATTGCCAAAGTCAGTTGCGCTATTTTTCCCGCCGAATCGATACCTTCGGTCGTCGCACATATGGCAAGGGCTGTGCATCGAACGACATGTTGAGTGTTTTAGTTCACGCCGCGTGTTGCTGGCGGGTGGGCATCTGACTCAAATTCTAGACGGAGCGTCACATGGTCAATGGCACGGAGCGCACGCTCTTGGTGCATCGCAAGGGGTCAACGCGGGCATTCCCACCCCACCACCCCCTCATCCCCGTTGATTATCAGCTCATTGGACAGCCTGTGCTGATTGGCGGCACCATGGGCACATGCAGCTACGTACTCACTGGCACGGATACAGGCTTCCGTGACACATTTGGCTCGACTTGCCACGGCGCGGTAGGTACAAAAGCTGCGGCGGGTACAGCTGCGGCGGGTACAGCCGCGGCACGATACGCCTGTTCATTGTGACCTGCATTGCCTGCGTTGATATATGGCAACTGGCGTGCCTCCCCTGTGCCTCTGTGTTTTGATTGTTTCTTCCTGTACAATGCAATGTGCCAACACTCACCGTGGGACCTGTTTCGTGATGTCGCTTGTTTCGTGCGGGGTGCCCCCTCATCTTTAGGGGCGTGCGCTGTCTCGTGCAAAGTCGCGCCGCACGCTTGATTACCAGCAAGTTCTGGACAAGCTCGACAAAAAGGGAATTGCCATTCGTGTGGCGTCGCCCAAGCTTGTAATGGAGGAAGCCCCGGAATCCTACAAGGATGTGACTGCGGTTTGTCTTACCGGTTAACCACTACCTCGCCCTTTGGGGCGAAGTGGCGATGTGCAATGCGGCCTGCAATCACGATGAGTGTCTCACCATCCAACATGTCATAGGTCGTTGATACTTGCCACGCCGCTGGCATCAGCAAGAAGGTGGTCAAGCTCCGGCCCATCGCCGTAATTAAGGGCTGAGGAGATCCTCTGATTGTGGTGGATGACACAGCCTCCATCGCGTGTCCTCGGTGTCAATGGCATTATGCTTTCCAATCTCCCTCTGCCTTGCCGCCTGTCTATTTCCCGCTCCAAATTGACTTGTACTTCAACAACACACCCTCACCTTGGACAAGCAAAACACAAAAACACAACAACACCAACAACACCAACAACGACAACAACAAGAATCTGACATCCCGCCCACTTTGCTTTTTTTTTTTTTTTTCATGTTGTTGTACATGTCTTTTTCTTTTTTCTGTTGTATTTGCCCTCTTCTGCTCTCTGTCTCTCTGTCTGTGCTCTTGGTTCCTTGTCATCTGTGGCATCCGTGTCCCGCTGTCGCTGGTGGTCTCTTGCCTACGCGGCGCCTGGTCTCTTGATAGGGCTCAAGAAGAACCCAAGCTGAGGTGGCTGAGCTGTGCCCCTGTTGGGCGAGTGTGCGCACAAGATTTGAATGCACACAGGCATGAAATCATTGGTGTGCGAAAACTGTGTCGGGCCGATCGAGCCACAGACACGGCGTCCGTAAGTGTGTCGTTAGACCATTTGCATGCGCAAGAGTGATGGTGATGCGGCTGCCATTCCCTCCACCTGTTCGACCCTGCTGTGTTGACCAATCCAACCTGGTAGAGTGGGCTCCTCGTCAAGCTTATGCTGCCCAATCGTTATCCGACGCCGAGATCCTCTGGCCTGGGAGGGTGGCTCTCTTCCAAGCTCCTTTGCCGCTTGGTCTCGGCATTATGAAATTCTTCTCGCGTGCCACCGGGGCGAATCAACTTTGGTATGTGAATGGCAGTGATTGATTACGCTCTTTTACATCGCCAACGGTTCTTCCTGTCTCCCTTCCACCATCTGGCCGCCCCTCTTTTTTTCCTTTATTTGTGATTTGTTTTGTTTTTTTCCTGTCCTTCACCTTTTTCGCGTCTGATCCTAGGATGATCTCTACTATGTGCCGTTATTCCCGTTGGGCAAAAATGAGGATCCTCTTGAAGTGGCCGAGTCGTGTCTCGAAGGGATCAACGTAAGCTCGTTGCTGAGTGCCATTTTGCAACATCCCTTTCGAGGGACAGCCCTGTCAGGCGGGTAAAGGAAAAATAAACTATTTTGACCACTCGTCCTCACCCAGATCACTTGTCTATTTCTGTACAGCCCAAGCGTTGCGTTTTCGTTGGCACTGCAACCATACCTTGGAAAGCACAGCAAATGCTAGTGTATGCTTTGCCCGTGGATCACGGCGCTCTGTCCGTGGACGGCACAGGCATTGATGTCCGTGAGCTTCGCACAGACGATGCTATTCACCCCATGCCTTGGGCTCGTATGACTTCATGCCGTGGTCAACTCATTTAGGAGCTGCATTTTGAGCACGGCGAAGCCTTTGTGTCATTATCGGATGTCGTGTCTGATATGCGAAATCGTCGAAGTCGGGGCGCAATTCGCCAACTGGACAACGTCACGCTCCTTGCCCTGGGCCGGTCCGTCTCCTGTTCAATCGTCTGTTCCCATTCAGTAGCCCGTCCACCAGCATAATGACATTACGAAATGGGGGTTGCTTTGGAACGTAGATTGGCCGAGTGGTGTGCCGAGCTACACGCTAGTACCGCAGCTGTGCGGTCGTTTTGGCGACCCAAACCTTCTTTCCAAATGCGAGCCGTTGTCCACAACGCTGTACGATCTGTCCGCTCCCAATGCTGCTGCCCCGAGCCGGCCTCTTATTCACTGACCTTGAAATTCAATGTGCAGGGCTACACGTCTGATCCAGATATCCAAGCTCGGGCCCCGCGTGCCGTCATCAACCCCCTTTACCGTTCCACCTTGTTGCTGCCAATGCCGGGTGCGGCCTCGGACCCAATCGATGACGAGGCCTCAATCTTCGCACTCCAGGCAAGATGTTCAATGTTTTTGGTTTGTACCTCAGCCATTTCATCGTCTCACATGACTTCTCTGAATAGGCACCAGTGCTAGAGGCGTCCCAGCATCGTCCACGATGGCAGGACGCCTTTCCACTCCACGCAGCTGCCGTAGCTAACAGTGTTGAGCAGCTGCGACGCCTACTGCAACTTCCATCCATGGTGTTGGTATCTCGATCTGCAGCGAGCCCCTTGCCTGTTATCTTTGGTATCTTCGCACTGGATTCACCCCCACATTTGTGTGGCACTGTCACCTGCGCACCTGTTGTACCCATTGTCAGTGCATCTGCCCTCGATGAAAACGGGTGGTCCCCACTGCACTACGCCGCATTTCACGGTAGCATAGAGGTCGGTTCTTGCCAGGCTCGGTTCGGGCTTGGAATGCTGGCTTTGTTGTGCAGAGCTAAGCTAATGCAACTACAACCCGTCTGCACAATTTTTCATTCTTCCAAATAACCTTTGCAGGCTGCCAAGCTCCTCATGGAGGATTGGCAGGGTGGACCCACCATTCAGACACTCTCGGGTAGCACTGGTTGGTTGCCACTGAATCAAGCTTATGCTCAGAATATGAACCCATGCTTGCACCTCCAAACTCACTGACTGCTTCTCATCGGCTTAGCATTACACTTTGCTGCACAAAACGGGCACGCGACAATTGTCGAGCTACTTCTGGCATGCCCCTTTGTCGACCGTGAACAGAGCAACACTGATGGCCTGACCCCCATGCAGTTATGCCAGCGCACCCAACTCAATGACTACCAACGCACCATTGCCGTTCTTTCCTCTACTGAAAGTCAGTGCCCTTTTTGGTCATCCACATGTTCACAACACATCCGACAAAAAAACAAAAAAAAACGAACGCTTTTGGCACTAAAATGCTTCGCTCCGAGGCACTAAACATAGCGTCTCTGCCGCGCCTACATAGAACATGCCCTCAACCGCTATGCCAAAGCGGGTCTCGACGGTGCAGTGTTGGCACTGGCCGACTTCAAAATTTACCTGCCAGCGGGTCATGCCAAGGTACTTGTTGAACCATTAGCAGTCAATCTAGGTTTGTGCGCCTATCGCTTGAATGACAAGGTTTGGGGTGTGACAGGTACTCCGTCTGCCTGCGGGTGATACAATCACGGCAATGGACCTGCGAGATGCTGTCGCATCTTTGTTGCAAATGCCGGAGGCGCATTTTGATATGTTTGCCATCTGGGTCATCAGTGGCGCCTACAAGCTTCAGGTTTGACTCTGTTTTTGTTTGTCGTTGACATCATTGCATAACACACAGACGCGCGCACACACACACACACACACACACACACACACACACACCATCTCGGTTTTCCAGCCCGTCCTGAAGTTAAATTCTTTTGTGCATTTAAAACATGTAGCTTCGTCAAGACCACTTTCCCCTGCGTGAGCTGGCCAACGCCCAAAGCCTTTTTGATCAAGGCGTCACCACCGGACAACCAATTTTATTGTTCCAACGCAGCGTCTACCTGAGTCTGGTAAGGCTCAACCTCACAATAGTCCAGCGCTGGTGTTACACATGCTGTCATCTTAAATTTCTCACCATCATTTTTGCTCTTGTCTTGATAGTCACGAGAGCGTCAAGTCGTTGATCCAGTGGTCCTCAAGCTACTCTTTGAGCAAGCCTTGCACAGCTACCTTTCATCAGAATGGCCTGTTTCCTTAGACGACTCTGCTCATTTGGCCGGTCTACTTATGCAGATTCGCTTTGCGGACCACAAAGGCGAATCCCATACGCTCGGCTTTTTGACCGGCACCCTACAAACATTTGTGCCTGCACATCTACAACATGCCTTGCGGCCGGCCGAATGGGAGCGGCGCATATTTGAAGAGCACAAAGGCTTTCGAGGAACACTTGACTTTGTTTCGCTGCATCGGCTCTTTCTGCAATTCTGCCGCCAGTGGAGCTTTTACGGCTGCGCGTTCTATCCAGTTGGCCTGCTCAAACCCAAGCGTGCCAAAGCCAAGTAAGTTTTTGATGTGCTCAACTCCCCAAATGACGTCAAGCCCTCAAATCGTTTTGCGCATCTGTTTAGGCCCGAGGATTGGACATTGGGATTCAATGCCGAATGGCTTGTGTTTACGCAGCCAACCGCCTCCAAAATCAAGGTTGGCTCCTCTTTGACGCATCAAACCGTTTCGACAGATCTGAACCCATAGCAATTGCTCAGTTTCATGGTATGGCTCATTTTTATTGGATCCACAGCTTTCTTTGACGTGGAACGAGGTGCAGTCAAGTCTCAGCCCACAATCAAGTACAATCTCCTTGACGCTGACAGTAAGTCGAGATCATTTTGGATTCGAAACGAAAGCGAAACGCAATGCCTCATCATGACATTTCTGCTCTCGTGTTTGCAACATCGTTTTGAATGGATCTTAGCCACTCGATCGCAATGTACTTCATCCCATGGCGCCGTTTTTGGAGGATGGCGTGCTTTCTTTCAAGTCACGGCAAGCTGTTACCTTGCATGCTCTGATCCAATCAATGATCGATCGACTTAACGAGGCAAAGCGCATCGTCGAGCAGAAGCGTATTGAACAGGTTTGTTTTGTTCACAAGCGTGCCAGGGCCTGTGATCGTTCATAGATTGCACTCATAAATGGGATGCTCATCTTGACTTGAGTTTGCAGGGAGGGCCGCGTGTCTTACACCATAAGAGCAACACCGAAGCCGAAGCCCCGACTGCTATATACACGCAAGCAGAGGTGCAGGATCTACAGCTGCGACAGGTGGGATCAGTACTACTGATATTTTTTGTTCGCATTTCTCCCTTGACTCACGACATGCCGTTCGCGTGGCCGTTCAACTGCATTCACACTTACAGCAACGCGAAAATTCCAAGCGACTCGCCTTTATCAATGCAATTGGTGTTCGGCCATCGCACTCTGAGCAGCTGTCAGAAGCGGAGCGGAGGTTTCGGGAGGAGTTTGGCAAGCCACCTACATATCGAGCTTCCATCAAAGATGTCAAGCTGCTTTGCTACCACTTTGGCTATTGGCTTGGTTCAGGCCTGGATGGTGCCCGAGAAGCCCTATCTGCCACTGACAAAAGCTTTACCTTTCGAGACTTTGTTGTTTGGTCGGTGCTTCGTCCAAAATCCCGACTCGACTTCCATGTTTGCGATGTGCGCGAGAATCAAATCTTCAAGGCTCACTGGCTTTATCGGCTTGAAACCTCATTCAGGTGGGCTCAATCACCCAACCGATGGCTCTATTTGCTCGACAACGAGGGCTTTTCGAAGCGCTATCGCGCTACAGAAGCCTTTCGGCGTATCGACAAAGCTTCAACTGGCAAGGTAAGCTCCACTTAAGGAAAATGCACGGTCAGATTGAATTTCTAACTTTGACCAATCGGCTGGTGGAATTGCCAGCTCGTTGATAAAGAAGTGGACGACCTCATCAACATAATCAAGGATGAGGGTATCACCTCTCTGACTTCCCGTGCCATTCAACAAGGTTTGTCAGTGGGCATCTCAGCGATGACATTTTGCATTTTCAACACGATCATGCAGTCATGGCTCATCATGTCTATTGTCGGACCGTTTTCTTTCAGGCCTCGACCCAGGGGCTCGCCGCGTTGTGGGCTTCGAACAATATCTTGACTGGCTCGTCAATCTGCATCTTGTCGATGATCGGCGACCCTAGCCCACGGGAGGCACTCAACATTACTTTTTATGACAAGCACGCATACCTTTATAATAGTGACCGCGAATCGTATATCGAAAAATGACGGAACTATTTTTTCAAACGAGAAATTGCAGATGTAGCCCGGCGGATATGAATGACAAAACAATGGCTCTCGCTCGTCGGGCAGTGGTAGCTGAGAGCCAAGTGAAACAAGCAATTGCAGACCAAGATCTTGCGAAACAAGTCCAGATAGATGTGGACAAGTTGCCGAAATCAAATTCGGTCTCCAAGCGTGACAGAGGATGCCTTTCTCAAATATTTGTTGAGCAGTTTTCACGTGATATGTTAGCGTCAAATCCGTGCTTCCAACGTCTGGAGCCTGACAGACATCTACTTCTCTTTGCTCTGCGTCTTGATATTTGTCAAGCTGATACTATTTCCGCTAGTGTGCGAGCGCGCTGTGATGTTTGACTGCCGTTCAGACGTTTTGTACTTGAAATGATCGTATGTATGTCAGGCTCCACGGCGTGTGGTGTCCAGTTTTGGGTTTGAGGAAACGCGTAGGTTTGAGGAAGAGTTTTGAGAGGGATTTGGGAGGCATCCGTCGGGACGGAGCGAGAGAATTGGTGGTGTCTTGAGGTCAATTGAAACAGCTGCGGTCGGCAAGTATTCACAGTGACTAGACCAGATGCACCGTCAGAATAGCTGAAGAGTCCCTCATTCCCGAGGATAGGGAAAGTGCAACGACTGCAGGTGTCACAACAAGGAGAAACAATGGTATCCAAGCTGAGGTTCAAACACCTAATTTATTCATTGACAAGTACGTGCCTAGCCTCATCAACCACCTCTATACGCTGCCCCCAAGTCTCACGTCGGGCTTGTCCGAGCTCTTGAACCGTGCTTGCAAGGACACCTTTGTCAAAGCCTTTTTTGCCAAGGTAAACCTGTCTGCACCGGCTGGAGCTGAAGGTCATGACGTTACGCTGGAACAGCTCCTTGAGGCTCGCATCTTCACGCGGGCCAACACCGGGGGCTTTGGCCTGCACGACTTGGTTGAGCGCGGTCCGGTGGCTTATGTCTGCAACATGGCCAAGCTGGCCACTCGCTACCCTCGAGTTTACGACCGACTTTTGGAGGATGCATCGAGGGCTGCCGACTTTGAGGACCACGTGCAGCGAGCTGGCTTCCAGATGGCCACGGTCAAGGACGCGGCGACCCAGCGACCAGCTGAGATCATTGCCCTCCGCTCCAAGGCGGCACTGGACGACCTGATGGCCAAGTGCGCGCTGACCTGCAGCAGCAATATCTGGCCTCACGCGAGTGGGGCTCAGCACAGTCTTGACCATGCGGGGTCGGGACAAGTTGCGTCGCTTGAGCGACACGACCTTTGCCATTGCGGTCGTGTCCATGATGGGTTTTGGCCTCCATGAACTCATCAACGTCAAGCCGACGGACAAGTGCCCGCACTGCAGCAGCAAGACACCTCAGCCGCGACTAACCCGCGAGCACCTGTTGACCTGCCGTCCCATCAAGCGTCACAACGCCCTTCGCGACGAGATGGGCCGCCTGCTCAGGTACGCCACCCTCTCCCATGTCTGGGTGGAAAAGTCTGGCTACAACGCCAACGGTCAGAGCTGCCGCATCGACCTGCACTGCCGCAACCCCTTTCCCGGCGGTGCTCTGGGCCCAGCTCTGCCCGACCTGGGCATTGATGTGACTGTGCGCACAGCCCAACCCCCGACCACCTCGCAAGCCTGCATCAAGGTGGCGCTGCCCTTCGCCGATCCGAAAAGGAGAAGCGCGACTACTACACCGGTTTCAACCATGGAAAAACTCTGATCGTCCCTGCGGCGATGACGACAACCGGTGGGTTCGCCTCCTCCTTTGTGGATCTGCTTGGTCAGCTCGCCCGCTGCGCCGAGGCCCGTGGTGTGTACCAGCCGGGGCTGGATGAGGCCTTTGTTCCCCGGTGGAAGGGTCGCTTTGCGGCGCTGGTCCATCAGATGAACGCTGACCACATCCAGCGCCACTTTGGCGGTGTCTGCCTGCGCTCGTCGTAGGTAGGCACCGTCTCGGGGGTCCCTCTGTGGGGATCCCTGTGTGCACCTGTCGCTCCCTAGGTGGTTCTCGTGTGATCTTTTGATGGCTTGACTTGTATTTTTGTTTTAATTTTGCTTTGATTTTGACTGTATTTGTGTGGTATTTTTGCTGAATTTTTGTAAGGTCCTTTGTATGATGTCTTTTCCTTCGGTGGTCGGTTGCCTTTTCAACCCGACGCTGTCTCTTGTTGTATGTGAGCGTGCCGTGGTGTTCATTGTGTTTGTGCTGTGATGGCTTGTAGTTGTGATATGTGTGACGTGTCTAGTGTTTTAAATGGCCGTATCTCTGGTTATACTTGGTCGTTTTGTACGATTTTTGTTTCTATGTGCGTGATTCTTCGTGCTTGTACTCCTCGGCATGATAGGAGCCGATGAAAATGTTTTGTTCTCTTGTGTTGTTCTGCGTGCCGTCGTGATTTTGATGTCGGGGTTGCACAGCTTTGCTTTTAGCTCTGAGGTTCAAACACCTAATTTATTTATTCATTTTATTGCTGATATCGCTTCCACCTGTCTTCAGTGTGATAGTCCATTCTTATTAGAGGCACAATCTGAGACGGTATACTTTACCACGTTGTGTGTCCTCTGGTACTTGATGTTGTCCCACCTTGTTGTGTAACATCTTGCTGTACCATCTTGGTGTATCATCTTGTTGTGGCATCTGTTGGTTCCTCGTTGTGGTCTTTTGATGGCTTGACTTGTATTTTTGTTTAATTTTGCTTCAATTTTTGCTGTATTTGTGTGGTAATTTTGCTGAATTTTTGTGTAAAGTCCTGTCTTTTTCTTCTGTGGTCGGTTGTCTTTTCGACCCGACGCTGTCTCTTGTTGTATGTATGCGTGCCGTGGTGTTCTTTATGTTCGTGCTGTGATGGCTTGTACTTGTGATGTGTGACTGCCCTTTTGGGTGTCTTGTGTTTGAAATGGCCGTATCTCTGGTTATACTTGGTCGTTTTGTACGATTTTTGTTTCTATGTGCGAGATTTTTCGCGCTTGTACCTCTTGGCATGACAGAAGCCGATGAAATTGTCTTGTTCTCTTGTGTTGTTTTGCGTGCCGTTGTGATTTTGATGTCGGGGTTGCACAGCTTTGCTTTCAGCTCTGAGGTTCAAACACCTAATTTATTTTATTTATTTGGTCCCAACAGATTGCTGATATCGGTTCCACCTGTCTTCAGTGTGATAGTCCATTCTCTGTCTCCACTGTGTGTGTGTTTCCACCTGCTATAAATGGGAGCGATCTCCCTGGATCGGTACCATTTTCCTTCTTGACCTCGGTCGTTCCACTTCCCTCCTTCTGTCTTGTTCTGTCTTGTTCCTTCGCCTTGCTTCAATCCATGTTCTCGTATGCACTTCGATTGGTTGGATACCTCTGTGACAATCGCCTTGTCCACACACATTACACTGTACTGGACATACACCTTTAATACTCCCTCGCCCGCGGCGCACCCGTCTGCCCGCGATGGCGAAGTGGCGTTTGGCCTGGCCTCCAATCGCCCTCTACCCCGGCTCCCGAGAGAGCCCGTGCACGAATCGCTCTCTCACGACTCTCGTTATCGTCATGGCTATTTGAGCTCTCCCGCACATGACGATAGAGCCACCACGCCCAGGCGCTCTCCCATGGAAGCAGTGGATGCATCCCAATTTGGTGTTGCCTTTGGCACCAATGCGCCACCACGGGCCGGCTCTCGGACTCAACCACCCCACCACGTTTGGCACCGAGCCTACCAAACCTCAACCAAGTGGGAGTCCTATCGCGGTGACAGCAAGAAAGGTCTTGACTCCCTCAAAGAAAATGTCAACTCGGCCCTCGTTCTTCTCCAAGCCGAGCCCTTGCTGCATATGGCCACCCTCGA